CTTCCTTCCTTCCTTCCTTCCTTCCTTCCTTCCTTCCTTCCCCTGATGGCTGCTAGTTCTTGGAATGCAGAGAAATTTTCCAAACCAGAAGTTGTGAATTATGTTTATTTATGTATTTATTAGTTCTCTCTGCTCTCTCTCTCTCTCTCTCTCTCTCTATCTCTCTCTCTCTCTCTGCTATCTCTCTCTCTCTCTCTCTGCTATCTCTCTCTCTCTCTCTTTCTCTCTCTCTCTCTTTCTCTCTCTCTCTCTCTCTTTTAATAATGCCAAGATACAGCTATCCCCACCCTGGCATCCCTTCGCCACGGTGTGAGTTGATGACAGCTCCAGAATGGAAGGTCACACTTGAGACAATGGCATGGGGGAAAGGTCGAGGGTGGCGGAGCCTAATGTTTGGGGTACAGGGTACTATGTCCTGGGTCTGTTGCAACAATTGAAGATACTTGGAAGAAAAATGGTATTTGACAGCCGCTTTTGTGGCTGGTTAGCATCTTCAGATCTAGAACAGCTCGTCCTTGGGGGTTGGACTAGATGATCTCAAGATCCTTTCCGACTGTTAGATTCAATGATTCAGTGATCCTATGAAGAACCCCTTCCCCTGTCTGGAGTCAACAGAGTTCCAGGTTGTTTTCTTCTCGCAAAGTTTAGCTCTGATGCAGAAATCTCTCAAAATCCCAGATTAATTTTTTTTTGCATCCAACTTTTGGGATCATTGTTTATGAGCACAACTCTCTACCCCAAGACTTAAAACCATTTCAAGAATTGTGATCTCATTTGGGGGAATTGCTCCTGCCAACTGCAACTCCCAGCATCCTTCCGTGCCAGCCATACTAGCTGGGAAATTATAATTTAATTTAATTTATTTCAAGTTAGGCACGCTTCCCACTCCAAAATTCCTTCTAGAATTGAATATCCAGAAGGTTGCACCTTTTCCATCTCTAACCAACTTCTCTTCCTTATACCAAGGAAAGTTTTTTTTTTTAATTTTCTACCAATTTTTGGCATTTAGAAACTGCCAAATTCTATCCTTGTGGTCTCCAAGTAGGAGAAAAACTCCTCGAATTACCGCTGGACAGTCTGGATTTTGGGTGCACGCTTCAGCGGTGTTAATCTCGGTACGAAGTCAGCTGCTCCTTTTCTGCTTATTTAACAAAACCTCTTATTTATTTTGCACAATGAGGACTAGATTCTTATTTTACTATTAGGAGATAAGCCATAGCTCCCTAAGCAGTTTGGAAAATTCTTCTCTAGTATTGACAGTCCTGAAGAGACTGTTTCACTTGTCCTTGACTGGCTTAATAATTTAGTTGTAAGAATTTTTCTTTGTCTCTCTCTCTGTGTGTGTCTATTTGTGTGCAGATGTGGTTGGGCTCACACAATGCTATTTTCTCAGTTTGGTACCTAACAAGCAACACTCTGTGCCTAACTTACGGATTTAAGAATCATTCTGTCAATGGATGTTCAATTTTTATCGCTGGGAAGAATAAAATTGGGTTTAAATCTGATCTCTCAGTCTCTTGCTGTTTTTCCGTTCCCTCAGAAAAAAAGTTGAGGAAAAAAGGTAGATTTTTTCCCCCCTCCTATTCACGTTCCAAGACCGCATTTTTTATTTGTGGCTGAGATTGGCCAGCTGTTTGCCTCCTCCAGAAAAAATTCAATCTTTTCCAGATGGCAGAAGGAACGACAACAGCTGGAGATGCCCACCGTTCTGTCGGGTTGGGACAATTTGTACCCACATTCCTTGGGGTCTGACTGTCTTAAATGCCTCCCTAACCTCTAAACCAGATGTGGAACAGATTTTTTCCCCCAGCTTCATTTCCCACCCCTTCCCACTCTTTCCCTGATTTTTCCATGTGTTTTATTTGTCAACTTTAAAAACAAATCCTGCAGATGTCCAACAAAATAACTTCGGGGTCCGGACAAAATAACTTCGGAAAGATAAGCCTCGCAAAGGGAATTGGATGACAGTTCTTAAATCTATATTTACCAGAAAAGGTGAAACAAAACATTCTCCCGCACAATAATTACTTTTAAAGCTGGAAGGTGGCCTTAAGTTCACTGAGAATACATCAAGAGGCAGAATATGTTTTCCATGCTTTAGGGATGGGAATGTTTTCTAACATCCTTTTCCAGTCTATGTTGCGCTGAATTTTTGAACCAAAAGATATAGGCTCGCATGGAGAGATAGAAATAGAGAGATGAGATAGATAGACACAGAGACAGAGAGTTAGAGACAGATAGATGATAGACAGACAGACAGACAGACTAATGCGTGGATTAAGATAGAGAAAATGGGAGAAAAAGACAAATGAACATACAGTACAGACAGGTTATAGATGGATAGAAAGGTAGGTAGGTAGGTAGGTAGGTAGATAGATAGATAGATAGATAGATAGATAGATAGATAGATAGATAGATAGATAGATTATAGATAGACACACATAAAGATATAATTGCAGATAGATAAATGGATAATAAGTAGGTAGACAAACAGAGATATATGGAGAGAGAGAGAGAGAGAGAGAGAGAGA